CTAGCTGGCTATGTAGACCAGGCTGACCACACTCTCAGAGAGATCAACCTGCCTCTGTCTTCTGAGTGCTGAGATTAAAGACTTGTGTACACACCTGGCTAGTCTATCACCTTCTTGACTTCCCCATCCATCTTCGTTCATTCAGCACATTTATGGAGCGCCTTTACTGTACCAGGCACAGGTCTAGGCTCTGCGATACAGCAGAGAACAAAACAAAGACCTCTATTCCCTGGTGCTGGACAGGTGTGGCTCTGTACAACAGATGATAATCAGTGCTCTGGGGGAACAAGTTATGAGGAGTTCTTGTTATCAGTATGGGAATCACAAATGCCTCACTAGTGAGGGAAGGGAGTCGTGCTGAGTAGCAGGCAGGAAGAATAGTCTGTGCAAAGGCCCTGAGGTCTTTGTGTTTCAGGGTCAGCAGGGAGGGAGGGTGCAAGGAAAGTAGATTATCTTTGTTCTGAGTGAGAAGGAAGCTGCTGAAGGCTCTGAGCATTGGAGGGCCACTACCTGCCATAGTTTCCCTTGGGCTGTCCATGAGACAGATCCTGAGAAGCAGATACATGGGAGAAGCAGGGAGTGCTGGTGGGGTAAGCCAGAGTGGGGACCTGGAGGGATCACACATAGTCTGATTGCGATAAATTTCAAAGATGGAGGCTGCAAGACTTCCAGATGGGTTTTACATGGAGGAAGAAAGAAAAAGATATCAGGCTAGGCGTGGTGGCACCTGCCTAAGCCCAGCACTCGGGAGGCAGAGGCAGGGGGATCTCTGGGAGCTTGCTGCCAGCCTGTTCTACATAACGAGTTCTAGCTGGTGCTACAGGGGACCCTGTCTCAAAAAGACCAAAAAAAAGAAAAGAAAGAGAAAAGAAAAGGACATCAGGCTGACCCCCTCAAGACTTCCATCTTTAACCCTGTACTAAGGCTTCAGAAAGGCCTTAAAAATGGACTGCTTATGTAGGCCGGGCATGGTGGCACACATCTTTAACCCCAGCACTCGGGAGGCAGAGGCAGGGGGATCTCTGTGAGTTCAAGGCCAGCCTGGTCTACATAGTGAGTTCCAGGACAGCTGGGGCTACAGGGAGACCCTGTCTCAAAAAGACAAAGAAAAAAAAAATTAAAAAACAAAACAAAGACTACACAACTAGAACTTATACTAAGGTCTTAAGACAGTAAGCTTTTCTTTTTGGGGGGAAGGGCTCTTTTAAAACAGGATCTCCTGTAGTCCTCAGCTGGCCTAGAACTCAATATGTAGACCAAGCTGGCACAGGGATCCACCTGCCTCCTGAGTGCCGGGATTAAATGCCATCATGCACGGCAAGACAGTAAGATTTTTAAAAATATTTTTATTATTTTTATTTTATGTGTATGAGTGTATTACCTGCATGTCTGTAAGTGTACCCATGTCATACAATGCCCACAGAGGTTAGAAGAGGGTATTGGATCCCCTGGAATGGGAATTACAGATGGTTGTTAGCCACCATGTGGGTGCTGGGAATTGAACTCGGATCGTCTGCAAGAGCAGACAGTACTCTTAACTGCTGAGCCATCTCTCCAGCCCTGGCAGTAAGATTTTTATTAGTTATGTGTTTTTCATTTATTTATTTGAGACAGGCTCTCCTATGTAGCACAGGTTGGCCTAAAATTCACTGTATAGCTGAGGCTGGCTTCAATCAGATTCATGGTCCTTAGGCCTCAGCCTAAGCTGTGTTTACAAATGAAGGCCACCATGCCTAGCTCACTGACACTTTTTTTTTAAATTTTATTTATTTATTTAGTGGGGGGGGAGGCATGTGTGCCACAGACCTTGTGTGGAGATCAGAGAACCACTTGTGAGAATCAGTTCTCTCCTTCCACCATGTAGGATCTGGGGATTGAACTCAAGTCATCAGGCTAGGCAGCAAGCCCCTTTACCCTCTGAACCATCTCACTGGCTCCTCACTGACACATTTTCAAGTCCATTAGGCATCTGTAATTTGTTTTTGCCCAGCTCCTCAATTCTACTTCTGTACCTTGGTTTCAGTAACATCTTTTTTTAAAAAAATATGTTTTATGATTTTTATTTTATTTTATGGGTATGAGTGTATTACCAGCATGTATGTAAGTGCGCCCATTTGTGCAGTGGCAGAGGAGGTCAGAAGAGAGCATTAGATCCCCTGGAACTGGAGTTACAGGTGGTTGTCAGCTACCATGTGGGTGCTGGGAACTGAACTCAGGTCCTCTGCAAGAGCAGCCAGTGCTCTTAACCACTGAGCCCTCTGCAGCCCCTCAGTCACATCTTTAAGGGAAGAAAGCTCCTGCCACAGGTTGCTGTAGTTCACATTTGCAATGACCTATAGGGAGGCTGAGGCAGGAAGATTGACATGTACTCAAGGTCAGCTGGAGCTAACTAGGGAGACACTGCCTAAATACACAAAATAAAACCTCTGCCTGAGCTGAAAGCAAAAGTAGACCCTGCTGGATGTGGCCCGCAGGGACAGGCACTGACCTTGTGACCCTATCTGCAAAGGGCATCAGAGAGATCTTTTACAGGACTTGTCCCCAGGGACCCCGTGGAGTGGCTTAAATGCCTCCATTTTACACATGGAAGAACTTGGACTTGAAAAGGTCACCCAGCCTGCAAGTGACAGAACCAGCAGTAAGTCCATATCCATCTGTGACACAGCTGTTTTCTAGTGTCCCCCCTCAATCCCTGCATGGAACACTGGGCCTCCAACATGCTAGACTGGGGCTCTACCACTGAGCCATGCTCCCAGCAGCCCCTCACTGGGGGCTTCTAGGCAGGTCTCTATCACTGAGCCACGCCCTCAGCCCCTCACTGGGGATTCTAGGTAGAGGCTCTACCACTGAACTGTCCCCTCTATGGCTGACATTGATTTGGGCCTGTAGATAATGAAGCCCTTTGCTTAAATTGGTGCACTGGGTTTAACTGGTGAGGTGTATGTGGAGATGGTATGACTCTCTAAAGCCTTCCCTGGTGGCCCCTTACCCACTGTCCCTGTCTGTCTGAGGGACTCTGTTCTGCCTGCTTCTCTCATTAGAAGCACTTGTTAGTGTGCTCTGGGTTTTTTTTGTGTGAGGCCAGGACAGCACATACTCACTCACATTTGCACTTCACAGAGACCTGAAAGAGACAAGTCATGGATTCTTGGGCTTGCCTCACTGCAGGGCTGAGTCGAGGGCCACTTGTAATTATCCTGATCTTGGTGTTTATGTGCCAAGCACTGATCTTGAGTTTCCTGTAGCCCTGTGCTAAGTGTTCAAACATTCCTTAGCCCTTGTAACATCCCTAGGGGTGGGCACTATTATTATATCCTTATTATGCAGCTGGGAAACTGAGGCCCGGAGATGGTAAGAGCCAGGATTCAAACCCACATTATTTGCCCCAGGTCCCACAGCTGAGACACAGTCTCAGCTTGTTCTGTGTTTGTTAAAAGTAGGAAAACACTGGTCTACATAGTGAGTTCCAGGGAGACCCTGTCTCAAAAAGACCAAACAAACAAAACCCAAAACCAAAGAAGTGGGCAAACAGAGATCTAGAGAGATGGCTTAGCTGTTAAGAGCACTTGCTGCTCTCAAGAGGACCAGGGTTCAGTTCCCAGCACCCATGACAGTTGTCCATAACTCCTGTTCCAGGGGATCCGACACCCTTTTCTGGCCTCCTCAGGTATTGCATGCACAAATGCACCTACATGCAGGCAAAACACATACATACAAATCAGTTAATTAATTTAGAGGGAGAGTCTTTTTGAATCAGGGTCTCCCTGTAGCCCTAGCTGGCCTGGCACTCACTATGTAGACCAAGCTGGCCTCAGTCTCATATCCGCCTGGGACTAATTTTTTTAAAAAAGAAGTGGGACAGCAGGAGGAGGAGTATGACGCCCCACCCCCAAGGAGTTGGCAGTTAGTGGTTTTGGGAGAGGGGTGTCATTTTCATCAGTATTGTAACCACCAATAAGTTGTTCATGCTCAGCAAATATCTACCCATCCCCAATTAGACTCAGTGGCTCACAAAACACCAGACATGAGGGTAAGAGGAAGCCTTTGGGGATGAAGGGGTTCAGCAAGAAAGATCGTAATGGGGTTAGAAGTGGCCAAATTCAATTATATAAGTATGGAATTATCAAAGAAAAATAAACCTTAATTTTTTTTTTTTATTAATTATGTGTCTGTGCTTGTTCACGTGGGTACCCACAGACAAGGACAGAGACATTGGGTCTCCTAGAGCTAAAGTTAAGGTGGTTGTGAGCTACCCAACATGGGTGCTGGGAACTGGACTCAGGTCCTCTGGAAGAGTGATACACTCTTAATCTCTGAACCATCTCGCCAGCCCCCCAAAATATTTTTTTAAAGGAGGAGGGCTTAGCCAGACATGATGGTGCACACCTTTAATCCCAACACATAGGAGGCAGAGGCTGGCAGATATCTGGCCAGTCTGATCTACATAGTGAGTTCCAGGCCAGCTGGGGCTATAGTGAGAACTTATCTCAAAAAACAACAAAAAGAGGGCTGGAGAGATGGCTCAGCAGTTAAGAGCACTGGCTGCCCTTGCAGAAGACCTGGGTTCAGTTCCCAGCACCCACATGACAGCTAACAACCATCCTTAACTCCAGTTCTAGGGGATCTGGTGCCTTCTGGCCTCCATGATGGGCATTGCACACACATGGCCCACTTACATACATGCAGACAAAACACAGATACAAGATAAAAATAAACATAAAAAATTTAAAAAGGGAGGTCCTGGAGAGACCCACGTGGCAGTTAACAACTATCCATAACTCCAGTTTCAAGGGGCTCCAATTCCCTCTTCTGGCATCCGTGGGCATTGCATGACATAGGTACACTTACATACATGCAGGCAAAACACTCATACACATAAAATATTTTTAAAAAAGGACAAAAAGAAGCTGATGTGGCGACACACCTATAACCTGGCTCTGTAGTGGCTCTGCCTGTTCTGCAGGTCCCCCACCTGAATGAACCCTTTCCTCTCTCCCCAGGAGCTCAGGATGTGTGGGTACGAGTGCTTCCAGAGGTTCGGGGTCGCCTGGGAGACACCGTGGAGCTGCCATGCCACCTGCTACCACCCACCTCAAATGTGCGCGTCTCTCAGGTGACCTGGCAGCGCCTGGACTCAGCAACTGTGGCCGCCTTCCACCCATCCTTTGGTGTGCAGTTCCCCAACCCTCCCTTCAACAAGGAGAGGCTGTCCTTCGTCAGAGCCACACAGGACACAAACATGGACCTTCGGGATGCCACACTGGCCTTCCGGGGACTGATGGTGGAGGATGAGGGTAACTACACCTGTGAGTTTGCCACGTTTCCCAACGGCACACGCCGGGGTGTGACCTGGCTCAGAGTCATAGGTGAGTGGGAGGCTGTATAGGAGCTCCTTCCTAGACTTATTTCTGTTTCTGCTTCCAGGTTGACTATTTTTAATGTAATAGTAAAGGGTTTTTGTTGTTGTTTGTTTGTTTTGAGATTTGTTTGTTTAAGGCAGAGTCTCACTATGTAGCTCTAGCTGCCTGAAACTCACTATGTAGACCAGGCTGGCTTTGAACTCACAGAGATCCGCCTGCCTCTGCCTGAACTAAAGGTGTGCGCTGCCACACTCAGCTTTTCTTTTCGTTTTATTGAGGCAGGGTCTCATGTACCTCAAACCAGAGGACAGCTTTTGGGAGTCGGTTCTGTCCTACCACCCTGTGGGTCCTGGAGATCAAACTTGGGTCAGGTCGTCAGGCTTGGCAGCAATGTCCTTCACCCAGTTGAGCCATTTCAGACTTACTATGTAACCAAGGATGACCCTGCGCTTTTGATCCTCTTACCTCTGCCTCTAACTCCCAAATGTTGCTATTACAAGTGTGTGCCACCACACCCAGTTTATTTGGTCCTGGGGATGGAACCTAGAACTTTCTGCACACAGTGCAAGCACTCTACCAACTGGGCTACATCCCTATCCCCATATTTCCTAGCTGCTATTTTCTTCCCTCCCTCTCTCCCTCCCTCCCTCCCTTTCTCCCTCCCTCTCTCCCTCTCTCCCTCTCTCCCTCCCTCCCTCCCTTTCTCCCTCCCTCTCTCCCTCTCTCCCTCCCTCCCTCCCTACCTTCCTTGAAAGGAACTTAGATAGCCCAGACTGGCCTTGAACTCAATATATATGGGAGGCTGTCCTTGAACTCTGGATCCTCCCACCTCCACCTTCCAAGTGCTGGGGTGTAAGACTGTTGCCACCATGCCTAGCTTTGACAGGCTAGCTGTGATATGCCTGGGTGCATGCGTGAGAGTGTGTGTGTGTGTGTGTGTGTGTGTGTGTGTGTGTGTGTGTTTTGAGACAGTGTCTCCCTGTAGCCACAGCTGGCCTTGACCTCACTATGTAGACCAGGCCTGCCTCTACCTCCCAAGTGCTGGGATTGAAGGAATAGGTCACCATACCCAGGGACAAATGCTTATTTACCATCTACTTAGTGCTAAATGATTGTTGTGTCTACCAAGGATACCTCAAATAATGCATTCCTTTTCTTTCTTTCATTTATTTATTTAGAAAAAGTCTCACTATGTAGCCCTGGCTGGCCTGGAACTCACTATGTAGACCAGGCTAGCATCAAACTCACAGAGATAGATCTACCTATTCTGCCTCCTGAGTGCTGGAACTATTGGTGTATGTGCCATCACACCCAGTGTATGCCTTTGGTTTTTGTCCTGAGAAAAAGAGCTATGTAGGTTCTGAGCCACAGAGGGCTGTGACCCGAGCCAGAGGGCTGTGACCTGGTGTGGCTTTTGTGCGCTCCTCCTGGGTGTCAAAGGGTGTCAGCTTCAAGAGAGACCAGGTCAGTTTGGTAGAATTCTAAAAAGCATGGTGGCCCATGCCTTTAATCCCAGCACTTGGGAGGCAGAGGCAGGCAGATCTCTGTGAGTTGAAGGCCAGTCTGGTCTACATAGGGAGTTCCAGGCCAGCTGGGGCTACAGGGAGACCCTGTCTCAAAAAGACAAAAAAAAAAAAATGAGAATTCTAAAAAGTGATTGGCTGCTGGATGGGGGAGTTTGGAGGGGTAGGAGAAGGTCGAGGATGCAGAGGGAGCTGGAAGATTCCTTGGTTCGGCATGAATGACATGTGGGGAGAGGAAGGAGGAAGAATAGAGGTAACAGCATTGTTGTCTGTGGGTTGGGGAAGAAAGAAGCCCAGAAAGAATGCCCAGTCTGCTGGTTCCCACAGGAGGCAACTAGCACAGCCTGTTGGCACAATGGTAGAGATTCCTCACTGAATCTTGAAAAATCCCGAGAGTCACACCTTCCAACCTTCCAGACACCACGTCACCCCATATTGTTTATTTACCCCCTTTTCTGCCCCAGAGAGCCAGAAGCCGCTCTCTACATTCCTGAGTAAATACCTGACACCACCACGGTTGTTCTGTAACTAAACACACAGCTCTTCCTGGGCCTGGTGGGGCCTATCATATCATCTCAGCTACTCGGGAGAATGAAGGAGGCAAGTTCAAGGCTAGCCTGGGCTACAGAAGGAGTTGAAGATTACCAGCCTGGGCAACTTAATGAGACCTTGTCTCAAAGTGAAAATTAAAAAGAGGGTTGAGGATGTAGCTTGATCATCAAGTACTTAACTCAACCAGTGAGTTGTTGGGGACAGGCTCAGCAGTAGAGTATCTGCCTAGCCTGTGCAGTGCCCCAGATTATCAATTTCGGTTCCAGAAGAAAAACTGAAACAAAACAAAAGCAGGACTGGGGATGTGCCTCAGTTAGTAAAGTGCTTGCCTAGGGTCGCACAGAGTCCTGGGTTTGATCCCCAGCACCACATAAAACTGGGCATGATGGCATGTGCCTGCAACCCAACCCTAGCACTTGGAAGGTAGACACAGGGTGATAGAAAGTTTGTGGTCATCCTCAGATAAAAAGTGAATTTGAGGCCAGCCTGATCTACATGAGATACTGTCTCAAAATCAGAAAAAAAAAAAAAAGCAGATCTTTTCACTCCTTGTAAAGGTCTCTGTTGTTGTACAATCATTTGAACAAGAGCACATTCAAGAGCTTTTTCAAGTCAGGAGTGGTGGCACAGGCCTGCTTTCTCAAGTACTCGAGAGGCTGAGTAAGAATCACAAGTTTGAAGCCAGCCTGGGCTGCATAGCCAGACCCTGTCTCAATAAAAGGAAAACTCAATAGTGTGTGCTTTCCTCATGGTATGTACAGTGCCCTAGGAGGTTAGCACAGTGCTTGGGCTAACGGTGAGACCTTGCCGAAAGAGAAAGAAAGGCAGATAGGGAAGGGAACAGAAGGGGGAAGGGAAGAGTGGAGAAATAGGTTGGGAAAGCAGTGCAGTGATGGAGCCAGACACAAAGTCCTGGGTTCCATCAGAGATATAAAAGAGAGGGAGGGAGGAACCAAGGTGGGGATGAGGCAGGGACCACCTGGAACCCTCAGTATAGGGCTGTCCACTCCAGCCAGGCTCCACAGGCAAAAGAAATTCGCCAATGGAAGGCTCTGGAACATCCCTGTGGCTGCAGATGGGCGAGATCACCTGATGGAACCACTTTGTGGTCAGTGGGGAAGGCAGTGGAGGTGGGGGAAGGGGAAAGAGGCAGGGAACACCCCACTGACGGCTACAGATACACATGGATATACACATGTAGGCAGGTCCAGCAGGAAGCTGGAGACGCATGTGTTCCAGCTCCAGGGACAGTGAGCGTGCCTTGCCATCTCCCCATGAGGGATTTCTCTTCCTTCCTAAGATTTTCCATGTTTTCCAGGAGGGTGAGGCGAGGGGCCAAAAACGTTGACCTGCTGGGGCATCCTGTTGCTTTTATTCCAGTTCGGAAGCACAAAACAATGGTGGCCACAGGAAACTAAATAGGACACTTTGGTTTTTTGTTTTGTTTTTTTTTTTCATTTCGGTGTTGGGGGATGGAGCCTAGAGACTACACCATGGTAAACAGGTGCTCTGCAGCTGAGCCATACCTCAGCCCCTCACTCGGGGAGTCTAGACAGGTGCTCTACCACTGAGCCACACCCCAGCCCCTCACTGGGGGATCCTAGGCAGGTGCTCTACCACTGAGCCATACCCCAGCCCCTCACTGGGGGATTCTAGGCAGGTAGGTGCTCTACCACTGAGCCACACCCCAGCCCCTCACTGGGGGATCCTAGGCAGGTGCTCTACCACTGAGCCATACCGCAGCCCCTCACTGGGGGATCCTATGCAGGGGCTCTACCTCTGAGCCTCACTTCAGTCCTGATTCAATTCTATGAAATTCTCTTTTTCACTCCCAGTTTCTTCTAGACTATGGATTCTGTACTGACATTTTATTTTATTCATTGATTTTCGTGGGATGTTTTGTTTTGGAGAGAAAAATCTCATGTATTCCAGGCTGGCTTGAAGCTTGTCCTGTAGCAGAGGCTGTCCTTATAGGCTGTCCTGATTCTCCTGCCCCCACTGCCCCAGCACTGGCATGGCATGTTCCACCGTACTGTACTTATCCGTTGATTTTTTTTTTTTTTGAGGCAGGGTCTCCCTGTAGCCCCAGCTGGCCTAGAGCTGCTATTGAGATCAAGCTGGCTTAGATCTCACAGAGATCCACCTGCCTCTGCCTCCCAAGGGCTGAAACTAAAGGTGTGTGCCACCACACCCAGCTTTATGTTTTTTTTTATATTTTGTTATTTTTATTTTATGTGTATGTATGTATTGCCTACATACATGTATGGGAGTGCACCCATGTTGGGCAATGCCATGGAGGTCAGAAGAAGATTTCATATTCCCCTGGAACTGGAGTTAAGGATGGTTTGTAGCCGCCATGTGGGTGCTGGGAATTGAACCTGGGTCCTCTGCAAGAGCAGCCAGTGCTCTTAACCACTGAGCCATCTCTCCAGCCCCTATTTGTTGATTTTTGAGACAAGGTCTGACTCTGTAGCCCAAGCCTGCCTCAAACTCATCATCATCCTGCCTCAGCCATCCTCATGGTGGGATCACATGTTTGTGCCACCACCCTTGGCCTATGCATCTTTCTGACAGAGCAGAGCCAACATCATTAAAATATCCTGCACAGGATAGGGTTGTGTGTGGCAGACTAGTCACAAGCACTGGGTGTGTCAATTTCTTTGATCTATGCAACAGTCCCATGGGGTGGGGACTTTTGTCTCTCTAAGGAGAGAAAGCAATTGCAAAATGTCTTGCCGAAAGCTATGGGCTGACTAAACAGGTGCTCCTGCTCAGACATTTGTTGAGTGACTGTTGGATAGGAATGACACATCTTCTCTGGTCGTCTCCCCAGCCCAGCCAGAGAATCACGCCGAAGCACAGGAGGTCACAGTTGCCCAGGAGCCTATGCCTGTGGCCCGATGTGTTGCTGAAGGGGGCCGGCCACCTGCCCGAATCACCTGGATCTCATCCCTGGGTGGAGAGGCCAGAGACACCCAGGAATCGGGATTACAGGTTGGCACGGTTACTGTCGTCAGTCGATACACCTTGGTACCTGACAGCCGAGTGGATGGTGTCAAGGTCATGTGCAGAGTGGAACATGAGAGCCTCGAGGAACCAGTCCTGCTGCCTGTGACCCTCTCTGTGCGATGTGAGTGTGCCAGGAAGCATGCCACCCCACCAAGACCGTCCACCAGTGCTGCCCATACTGGCTGTGAATTTTGTGTGCATTGGTTCCCACAAGCCAATTTTGTATGGCCATCCTGCTGTTGTCTGTCCTGTGGTCCTCACGCTGCCCCATCACAGTGTGCACTGGCATCCAGGACTCTCACCCTACAGTCAGGCTCACAAGAGCCCATAGGTTCTTTCCCATACTGCCTCCAACCATGACATGTAGCTAGCGTCAAACCACCCAAGAACACGCAGGGCACCATGTGTAGAGCTGTTCTACCACCTTCCAGAACCTTGTTTTACTTTAAGCAGCTGGCCCCAGCACTGTCTCATCTACCCAGGGACAGCAGGTGACACACTGTTCACTGACTGTCTACACCAGACACCCTGCACACCATCCACACTGCCCACCCCAGCATTGTCTCCACACTTTCCCACACACCATTCACTATTCATTCATTCATTTATGCATTTTGGGAAACAGTTTTATGTAGCCCAGTCTAGCCTCAAACTCCCCATATATCTGGGATGACCAGCTACAGCGTGCAGCACCCCCACGGGGCCACCCTGCCTACCTGCCCAAATCACCTGGATCTCATCCCTGACCATGACTTCCAGATTGGTTTCTTTTTTATTGTAATTATTATTGTTATTGTTGTTATTATATTTGAGACAGGGTCTCACCTTATAGCCCTGGCTGACCTGGAATTCACTATGTAGATCAGGCTTGCCTCGAACTCACCGAGATCCACCTGCCTCAGCCTCCCAAGTACTGGGATTAAGAAGGGCATCTGGCCGGACATGGTGGCGCACACCTTTAATTCCAGCACTTGGGAGGCAGAGGCAGGTGGATCTCACAGAGATCAAGGCCAGCCTGGTCTACATAGTGAGTTCCAGGACAGCTAGGGCCACAGGAGACCCTGTCTCAAAAAGACCAAAAAAAAAAAACCACAACAAAAAAGAGCATCTGCTCTCAGGAGCAGGGGTAGAATATTTGAGACAGTGCCTCCTCAGTGTTGGGATTATAGGCATATACCAGTGCCTCCTCAGTGTTGGGATTATAGGCATATACCAGTGCCTCCTCAGTACTGGGATTATAGGCATATACCAGTGCCGCCTCAATGCTGGGATTATAGGCTTATACCAGTGCCTCCTCAGTGCTGGGATCCTCCTCAGTACTGGGATTATAGGCATATACCAGTGCCTCCTCAGTACTGGGATTATAGGCATATACCAGTGCCTCCTCAGTACTGGGATTATAGGCATATACCAGTGCCTCCTCAGTACTGGGATTATAGGCATATACCAGTGCCTCCTCAGTACTGGGATTATAGGCATATACCAGTGCCTCCTCAGTGCTGGGATTATAGGCATATACCAGTGCCGCCTCAGTGCTGGGATTATAGGCATATACCATCACATCTAGTTTTATGTGTGCCACGGACCCCTGCTCCCCAATGTTGTTCGGCCTCTAGGGACCTTGGGGTTCTCGAGTGCTCTTGATGTGTCCTAGGCTAGGTCCTCCAAAAACTGCCTACAGTGACACCCCTCAGATACCTCCAAGTGCTCTCCTTTATTTTCATGTGATTGATTTTTGTTTGTTTTGAGACAGGGTCACACTATGTAGCCCTGGCTGGCCTGGAACATGCTCTGTATACCAGGCTGAACTCCAACCCACAGAGATCCACCTGCCTCTGCCTTAGAATGCTGGGATCAAAGGTGTGGGCCACCATGCCCAATGACTTCTTTCTTTTTTTTTTTTTGGTCTTTTTGAGACAGGGTCTCCCTGTAGCCCCAGCTGTCCTGGAATTCACTATGTAGACCAGGCTGGCCTTGAACTCACAGAGATCTGCCTGCCTCTGCCTCCCGAGTGCTGGGATTAAAGGCATATGCCACCATGCTCAGCTTCTTTCTATTTTTTTTAAACTTGTTTATTTATTTTTACTTTATGTGTATGAGTGTTTTGCCTGTATGTATGTAAATATACCCGTGTTGTGCTATGCAGTGCCCACAGAGGCCAGAAGAGGGTGTTGGAGCCCCTAGAACCGGAGTTGTAGACAGTTGTTAGCTACCATGTAGGTCCTCTGCAAGAGCAGCCAGAGGCATCCCTCTAGCCCATTTTGTTCATTTTTTTGAGAGAAGGTCTCTGGTAACCCAGGATTATCTTGAACTCTCTATGTATCAAAGATGACCTTGAACTCTTCCCTGTCCTCCCACCTCTACCTCTCCAGTGCTAGAATTATAGACAAGAACCACCACACCCAAACCTAGGAGATATGTGTTTACCACCTAGACTACACACTGTCCCATCTTACCTCTGCAGGATGCCGTGTGCACTCGCTGGCATGACCGAGCCCTCACAGCCTCATCCATACTGGCTCCTGCCATGTTCATCCTAGGAACCACTATGTGAGCCTGGCCATTCTGACTTCCTCTCTGTCCACGTTGGCTGGCTTGACATACCTCTTCCATGTGAATTATTCACATCTCTTACACACATGCATACACACAGGATACCTGTGATGGCTTCCTCATCGTTGCCTGCCATGAACAATAAACCTTCATGTCACAGCTGCCCCCGACGACCTCCTGGTCAGGTCTACTCTGGCTTGAGCATGCACATTGTGGCCTGCTGACCCAAGTTCATTATGACTAATGTACCTCTTGCCACCCAGGGCATTTGGTGGGATTCCTGTGTAGATGTTAATCTGTCGTTCCTACCCCCACCCTGTGGGATTCTCTCTCCCAGATCCACCTGAGGTATCCATCTCTGGCTATGATGACAACTGGTACCTCGGCCGAACTGAGGCCACCCTGACCTGTGACGTGCGCAGCAACCCAGGGCCCACAGGCTACGACTGGAGCACGTGAGTGACAGGACCCAGTGCTGGGAGTGAGGGAGGAGGGCTGGGCCTGGACCCCTCAGTCTGAGGGAGGAGGACTGGGGTCTGAATCCCTGGGTCTAAGAGAGGAGGGCTGGGGTCTGGATCCCTGGATCTGAGGGAGGAGGACTGGGGTGTGATCCCTGGGTCTGAGGGAGGAGGGCTGGGGTCTGGGTCCCTGGGTCTGAGGGAGGAGGACTGGGGTGTGATCCCTGGGTCTGAGGGAGGAGGGCTGGGGTCTGGGTCCCTGGATCTGAGGGAGGAGGACAGGGGTGTGATCCCTGGGTCTGAGGGAAGAGGGCTGGGGTCTGATCCCTGGGTCTGAGGGAAGAGGGCTGGGGTCTGGACTCCTGGGTCTGAGGGAAGAGGGCTGGGGTCTGGACCCCTGGTCTGAGGGAAGAAGGCTAGAGTCTGGACCCCTGGGTCTGAGGGAGGAGGGTTGGGGTCTGGAACCCTGAGTCTGAGGGAGATGGGCTGGTGTCTGGACCTCTGGGTCCAAAAGAAGAGAGTTGGGGTATGGATCCTTGAGTCTGAAGGAGGAAGACTGGGTCCAGAAATCTGGGTCTGAGGGAGGAGGACTGGGTCTGGAGCCCTGGTTCTGAGGGAGGAGGGCTGGGGTCTGGACCCCTGGGTCTGAAGGAAAAGACTAGGCCTGGACACCTAGCTCTGATGGTAGAGGCTGGGGCTAGACTCCTGTGTCTGAACGAAGTTGGCTGACAGTTGGGGTCTTTGGGGTGAGGTGGGTCCCTAGAACTTGCTCCCTGAGGTTTGTCAAACCCAGCCTGTCTCCCCTTGGCCCCTGCTGTTCCGCTCACCTCACCCCACACCCTTAGGACCTCAGGCGTCTTCCCAACCTCCGTGGTGGTCCAGGGCCCTCAACTACTCGTCCACTCCGTGGATCGCCTAGTCAACACCACCTTCATCTGTACAGCGACCAATGCTGTGGGGACAGGCCGCGCTGAACAGGTCATCTTTGTTCGAGGTAAGGTCTTGGTATCCAAGTGTGAAGTTCAGTTGTTTCTCCCTTTGGGACTTGGGTTCACTTGAGGTGTCACTTGTGCTGCTCTGAGAAGAGAGGGAGTCAGACCTGCTTTCCTCTGCATAGATGAGCCTGTGTTTTGACTCACCCTTTTTGGCCTCCAAGTGCAGGCTGGGCCCAACCTGGGGTGATGGGGAAGAAGTGTTTTCAGAGGAGTTAGAAATTGGAGGTTTGCATGGGGTCTTAACAGTCAAGGCATAAGGGGCTGGAGAGATGGCTCAGTGGTTAAGAGTACTTGCTGTTCTTCCATGAGACCTGAATTCAGTTCCCAGCACCCACATCAGGTAGCTCACAACCACCTGTAACTATATCTCCAGGGGATCTGACATCCTCTTCTGGCCTCTGTCAGCCTTTCTACATATTTTCACAGGTGTATGCAGGTGTTAAACACACACACACACACACACACACACACACATATA